GGTCGTTGCGACCGACCAGGCTGTGTTCGCGGCTGGCCAGTTTCTGGCCAGCCGTAAATCTGGCCGGCCAGCTCTTTTTTTTTTTTTTTTTTTTTTTTTTTTTTTTGGCGAAAATATTGCTCCTGGTGTACGGACTTTTGCAAAAAATTTGCACCTAGTTTGTTTTTTGTTGTCCTCGCATCCCTAAAGCCTGATGTTTATGAAAGCCATCTATAATAAGTATAAGTAGACACTTCTGTAGAAGAAATGGGCATTGGAATCTGAAAGGGTATATATCATGTACTCAACTATTCTAACCAAACAAAAGAGCACAGAAAGGTGAGCCATTTAGTTGAGTCCAAGGCGGCATATTAGATTTTTTTTTATCATACCAAGATCCATCTTGCGATTAAACAGTTTTCTAATATTGTCAAACCCATAAAGTATCATGGTTGGCATCTCATTATATATATTCTCTGTCTCTTTTCTTCTTCTTTTTATTTATTTTTATTTATTTTTATTTATTTTGGCGAAAATATACGCATGTTATTTGACGCATTTTACTACCTTTTTTCAGGCTTGCGTGTGGCTCCTCGGCTCTTGTGTTAGTCATTTTGCAGTTAGTTTCTTACTCGATCGTCTTTTTGCTGTTTTCTTCGGGGCAGTCTTATGCCTAGGGTAATTTACTCATCTTCCGAGTCACGGTTCACATCCGAACAGTCTTCTGTTGTCCCGGAGGACTCTTCTTCCTCGGATGCTAGCTCACTTGCTTCCGCAGGCAGCCTCTCGGGGCCGTCTGCGGCGCCTAGTTCGTTGCCTGGCCAGCTCGAGTCCAGTCCTATATTGTTGTCTTCCTGCTCCCCTTCTCCTTCTATCCGTCGGGCTCTTGTTCCTCCACCTTTGCAGGTAGGTCGATCCTCAGGCATTTATTTGCCTGATTGCCCTTCGTTTTCTCCCTTGGTGAGAGGACCGGGTAATTTTGAGGGTATCGGTCATCTCACCTCTCGTACGTCTGTGCTGGATTCTGCACATTACGAGTATATCTGTGTGCTACTGGGTCCTTCAGTTGATGTAGTTTTAGATAGGTCGCGGTTCATTCATGATCCTCCCGAGGGTGGTTATGTGGGCCTATCTTTTACGGCAGTTGTATATGGATTTCGTATTCCCCCTCACCCACTGTTTAACGAGATCTGCAGATACTTCCGTTTGGTTCCCGGTCAGTTGACTCCTAGGTCTTTTAGATTCTTAGTGGATTTTCTCAGGCGGTGTCATCATCTCGATGTTCCTCCTACTCTTGCTCTTTTCACGCAGCTCTTTCATGTCGCTACAGTGGGGTCCCGATCGCCGGGTTCTATCCAGTTCTCCCAACGTGACGGCCTGCGTTTTTTCAAGGGTACTACGCAGTCCGTCAAACACTGGAAGGAGAGTTTTATTTTTGTTCGCCTTGCTGAAGGTACCTTTGACTTCTCCACTTCTTGGCCTTCCTCTTATTTCAAGTTAGACCGTCCGCCTGCGCCGACTGGGGTGTTAGCCCGGCACATTCGGCCTTTCCGTAACTTTGGTTTGTGTCCAAACTCTGTTTATTATTATTATTATATATATATATATATATATATATATATATATATATATATATATATATATATATATATATATATCCTCCGCCTTGCTGACTATTTCTTTATTTTCCAGCTAACCCTGGCATGGGGTCGGATTCAGAGGCGGACACTCTTCCTATTCCATTGACTCGCCGACTGGATACGGTGATGGCCACCCGTGCGGAACTTCTTTGTGCGCAGTTTCGTCGCCAGACTCGGTCACAAACCGTTCAGCCTCCTGCTTCCCCGTACCCTTCGGCAGCAAATTCTCCAGACAAGGGTAAAAGACCCGAGGGGGATCTTCAGGTTTATTCCGTTCTTCCCCAGTTAATGATGTTGGCGCGGGGCTCGGTTTAGGTTCTTCCGAGGCCGCGATGGCCCCGTCAGATGGGGGGCAGGTTCGTCGACGAGTTTTGCGGAAGAGGGCTCGGGAGGAGCTCGACCAGGGTGGGCAGGCGCCACCGGAGTCGGAGTCGCGACCTATGACCCTGACTGTGGATGGTTGGGAGGATTCTACCATGAGTGGCAAACGGCTTAACTTTAATCCCGTAGAGTGGGGAAATGGTGTTATCTTCCCACTCGATCGGCAGGCTCTGAAGTCTCTTGGGATTGACGATCTTCACAAACGGTTGATTGCTCAGCTTTATCGGGTGCGTTCATAATTGTCATAGTCTTCCTTTGGTTGTTAGGCTTTCTTTTATTATGCTCTTCTTTCTAACTCGCTGGGTTTTTTTCCTGTGACTAGGCTGTTTCGGTTGGCATGGAGACCTTCAAGCGTGTTCCTCGGAGGCAGGGGATCTCTGCGCCCGAGTAGATGAGTTGTCTGCCCAGCTGACTGATCTTTCTTCCCGTTACCAGGGTCAGGTGCGCGAGGTGGAACTTGGCTTTGCGGCCAGAGCTGCGGCTCTACGGGCGCAGAGGGCTGCCGAGGAGGGTCGTCGAAGGGCGAAGGAGTTGCTTCGTTCCGCCATAGAGGATTATCGTGGTTCGGAGCTTTTTAGGCAGGATGCTTTGGAGGCGATTCGTCAGACTCCTGAGGATTTTGCAGTAATCAGCAAAGAGTGGCTATCTACTCCCGCAGGTGTTCAGTATACTAGTATCATGACGTCGGAGGACTATTATGAGGGGATGCGACATATGCAGGAGGATATCTATGGTATTATGAAGTCTGCTAATCCCCATTTTAAGCCGGTAGACTTGGGTTTCCCACCTCCTTACCATCCCTGGGTTGATCGTCATTTGAACGAGGAGCCTTCTGCGCCGATGGGTATTGCCCCTGTTGTGCCTCCTCCTGGATTCGAGCCATTGCTGAGTGCGGGCGGAGGAGGAGAGAACCCTTTGGATCCTGGTTTCCTTACTTCATCTGCCGACCTTCAGGGATTCGTTGGCGTTTCCTTTGGGGAGTTGGACCCAGGCGAGGCTGGGCAGGGGGATACCCCAGGTTATGCTTCCGCTCCTTAGGGTATATGTGTCCTACTTTTGGTGGTTGTGGCGACTTCGACATTCTAGCTTGCCTTGTTACTTTTGCTCATATGCCGGGTAGTTGATGATTTGGTCCTTTTATTTTGTGTTTTTTTTTTTCTGTATGCCGGATAGGTGGTGCTTTAGTCGCTCTATTTTGTCTGTACGCCGGATAGTTGGTGGCTTAGTCGCTCTATTTTGTCTGTACACCGGATAGTTGGTGCATCGTCGCTCTATTTTGTTTATTTTGCATGTACACCGGATAGTTGGTGCCTTGATCGCTTTATTTTGTTTATGTACACCGGATAGTTGGTGCCTTGGTCGCTCTGTTTTGTATATGCTGATTTTAGCTTTAACTCCTAAACTTTTGGCTACCCTGCTCAGCTTTCGAGAGCATCTTCCGTTCTCTGTTAGTATGTTGTTCCATCAAAGGTTTATTAAGAACGTCTCCCGTTCTCTGGCAGTATGCCCATCCACCAGTGGCTATTGAGAACGTCTCCCGTTCTCTGCCAGTATGCCCATCCATCAAAAAACTATTGAGAACGTCTTCCGTTCTCTGTTGTTATGCCATTCCACTGATGGCTTTGGAGAACGTCTCCCGTTCTCTATTATTATGCCATTCCACCAATGGCTTTTGAGAACGTCTCCCGTTCTCTGCCAGTATACCGTTCCACCAAAGGTTTATTAAGAACGTCTCCCGTTCTCTGGCAGTATGCCCATCCACCAGTGGCTATTGAGAACGTCTCCCGTTCTCTGTTGTTATGCCATTCCACTGATGGCTTTGGAGAACGTCTCCCGTTCTCTATTATTATGCTATTCCACCACTGGCTTTTGAGAACGTCTCCCGCTCTCTGTTGTTATGTACTCTATTTGACTGCTTTTTACTGACGCTGTTTAATACTCTAATAACTTCTAGACTCAGCCTTATGTCTTATGACGCCCTGATTATTCCCCTAGAGCCTCTATATACTACACTAAGCCCTTCACCCTTAACTCCCCACTATTAGATTCTCCGCCACCTGATATTGTAGGGCTCTTTATCCCAGTAGCCTCATTCATTTTGTTTCATCGTGAACTGATTATTGCTTCATGCGCGACCTTGTTTTATACTTGTCCATCGAGCGTTGGGTGAACCGCCGATTTGTGGTAAGATGAATTGGCTATTGATTTGTCGAAATGACTCGTTAGGGTGACTGGCCGGGGTGATCGAGCGTAAGAATTCTGGGGAGGTTCAGGTTGGTTTGGATAGGGTGTGAGTTTGTTAGCCCCTTGTGGGGCTAACTGCGACCTAGCGTCTTTGAGATGTTGTAATGTGTTATGTTTTTGCGAATCATGAGATGTGTAGTCCAAAATAAAGATATTTTATTACGAAACTAATAAAGGTAAATAGTACATGAGGATATTTGATATGAAATTCTCATGCGGGCTACTGGTAAAACCTTTTGAGGCGATTTGAATTCCAAATACGCTCAATTAGCTTGCCTTCCATAGTTTCCAACTTATAGGTGTCTGGTCTGATGATTGTCGAGACTCTGTAGGGGCCCTCCCAGTTCTTGGCTATTTTCCCGCCTTGATTTGGTAGGGCGGTTTGTCTATCTCTGAGTACTAGGTCCCCTATGTCAAAGTACCTAGGCTTTACGCGTGCATCGTGGTATCTTTTCACAGCTCGTTGATATTCCGTCATTCGGTGCTAAGCTGCGTCTCTCCGCTCTTCGAGGAAATTCTTTTCTAGTTGCAGTAGCCGCTCATTAGCCTGATCCTCATATTGTTGCACCCTACTCGTGGGGCATAAGACCTCGATAGGGACCTTGGCCTCGAACCCATACGTGAGGCTGAATGGGGTTTCCCGTCGCGGGGTGGTTCGATGAGCCCACAGGATGTGGTCGAGTTGGTCCACCCATGTACCACCTTTTTCTTCTATTCGTTTCTTTAGTCCATCCATGATTGTTCTGTTCGCGTTTTCTACTTGCCCGTTTGCCTGGGGGTATGCCACCGATACCTTGGTGTGCTTGATAGAATAATTTTCACAGAATTCTGCGAAGTCCTTGCAATCGAACTGTCGGCCATTATCAGTGAGAGATGCTCAGGCAGGCCAAAACGGCAGATCACTTTCTTCCACAGGAATTTGCAAAACTGGTATTCGGTGATGGTTACTAATGGTTCAGCTTCGATCCACTTAGTGAAGTAGTCAATGGCGACTATGCAGAACTTGTGGCGCCCTGGCGCTTGGGGTAGCGGTCCTAGGAGGTCTACACCCCACTTAGCGAAGGGTATGGCTGTGGTGACCGGTGTGTAGAAGGTGGCCGGTCGGTTTTGCTTTTCTGCAAACTTTTGACAAGTATGACAACTTTGAATCCTTTGGATGCAATCTTGTGTCATGCTGGGCCAGTAATATCCTTGGACCAGTAATTTTCTGGCCAGGGTGTTCGCTCCCTGGTGAGCTGCACATATCCCGCTGTGGGCTTCCTCAATTACTTGCTTGGCTTCGCTTGGTGGGAGGTATTTTAGTAGGGGTCCTCCGAAGGATCTTTTGTACAGCTGGTTGTCTGCCAATTGGTAGGCTGGGGCCCTTCGCTTGACTTTTGCGGCCTGTACAGGATCAGACGGAAGTTCTGCATTCGTGATGTATCTGGTTAGATCTCCTATCCAGCTATCCGGAGATTGGATGCCTACTGGGGCTACCATTGCGATCAAGAGGGATTCTGTACTGGGCGCGTGGATGATCTCTCTCTTGCATATGTGAGCTAAGTGTCCTGGGGTACCTCCCAGGGAGATCTTCGAGAGTAGGTCGGCTTCCATGTTTTCCGTGCGGGGCACGTGTTGTATTTCGTAAGCGTTCAACTTTCCCAGCAATCCTTCAGTAACATCCTTGTACATCCTCAAGTTTTCCCCTCTAGTCTCGAAGGTGCCTTTGATTTGTCCTACAACAAGTCGTGAGTCTGTTCGAATGCGAAGGTTACGTGCTCCAAGGGCGGTCGCAAGCCGTATGCCTCCGATCACTACTTCATATTCTGCCTCGTTGTTCGATGCTTTGAACTGGTATTCTAGGGCATAGTATACTTTGAATCCTTCTGGTGACGTTAGCATGATTCCCCCTCCACAGTGTTTGGTGCTGGCTGCTCCGTCTGCACTCATTTCCCACCAGGTATTCTGGCTGAAATCACTTGTCCTCCCCCTTTGGTCTCTTGCTGTACATTCCACGATGAAACCGGCCAGGGCCTGTGCCTTGATGAAGGGTCGGGGTTTGTACTCAATCCCATATTGGGTCAACTCCATAGCCCATTTCACCATTCGACCAGAGGAGGTGTGGCTCCTCAGGATGCCGGCAAGTGGTTGGTCTGTGAGCACTTCTACGGGGTGGGCTTGGAAGTATGGGACTAACTTCCGTACTGTGGTGATTAGGGAGTAGACCATCTTCTCCAGGGGTGTATATCAGGTTTCTGCCCCTCTTAGTAATTTGCTGATATAATATATTGGATGCTATAGCTTCTCTTATTCCCGCACCAAAATGGAGCTTACTGGCTGCTCTGATACCGCCATGTAAAGGTATAAGGTTTCACCTTCTTTGGGTTTGGCTAGTAGGGGTGGGGATAACAGATATTTCTTTAGCTCCTCGAACGATGCTTGACATTCAGGGGTCCATTCGAACCCCTCTCTTCTTTTGATCACTTCGAAGAATGGCAGAGAGCGCTCTGCCGATTTGGAGAGGAAACGGCTAAGGGCTGCCAGTCGTCCCGTCAGTTTTTGGATTTCCAGCAGGTTGGTGGGCGGTTGCATATCCAGTATGGCTTTTATTTTCTCGGGGTTTGGTTCTATCCCTCTCTGTGTGACCATGTATCCTAGGAATTTTCCCCCACGGACAGCGAATGCGCATTTCTTTGGATTCAATCTCAGCTTGTATCTTTCCATGAGTTGGAAGCATGCTCTAAGGTCTCAAGAGTGCTCGGGGGCTTCTTTGCTTTTTACCAACAGGTCGTCGACATAAGCTTCCATGTTTTTCCCAAGAAAGCTGTGAAATATTTTGGAGACCATCCTTGTAAATGTTGCTCCCGCATTTTTCAGGCCGAACGGCATCACCTTATAGCAATAGACTCCATCAGGTGTCAGGAATGCCGTTTTTTCTTCGTCATGCTCTTCCATAAATATTTGGTGGTAGCCCTGAAAGGCGTCCATGAAGCTAAGTAGTGCGCAACCGGCAGTTTGGTCTACCAGTTGGTCTATTCTTGGTAAGGGGAAGGGGTCCTTAGGACACGCCTTGTTGAGCTCAGTATAATCGGCACACATTCTCCATGCTGGGGGCTTGGGTACTAGCACAACGTTAGCCACCCAAGCGGGATAGGTGACTTCCTTGAGGTGTCCGATCTCTAGTAGGGTGGAAACTTCTTTTTTTACGAATTCTCTTCGGTCTGCCGCTAGGTGCCTCTTCCGCTGCATGATTGGTCGAGTGGCCGGATTGACAGATAAGCGATGGGTGATGACCGACCGGTCAATTCTGGGCATGTCTTCGGGTCCCCAAGCGAATAGGATTTTGTACTCTTTCAGTGTCTGTAAGATACTCAGGCGGACCTCTTCTGTTAATCCTTTGCCTATCTTGATCGTTCTTTCTGGTCTGGAGTCATCCAAAGCTACTTTTTCTAAATCGACTGCGGGTTCCGGCCTTTCCTTAATCTCCTCTCCTTTGGTTTTCTCGGTGATAGTTTGGACCTGCAGGTCGCGTTTCCCAATTTGTCGGCAAGAGAGGAGGTAGCATGACCGGGCCACATGGCGATCGCATTTAGCGATCCCCACTCCTTCGGGTGTTCGGAATTTTAAGCACAGATGCTCGAGCGACACCACAGCCCCCAGGTCCTCTAAACCCGGACGCCCTAGAATTACGTTATACGCAGAATTGATGTTAACAACCACGAACTCCATGTCTAGGGAACGGACCGTTGGGTATTCTCCTATTTCCACGGACAAGGTGAGGCACCCCTCAGCCTCTACGCTATCTCCGGTGAACCCAGCAAGTGGCGTACGCACTAAGTGTAGTTGTTCTCGGGACAGTCCCAGTTTGTTAAATGTCTCGAGGTACATGACATTGACACTGCTGCCAGTGTCTACAAATACTCTCCGGACGGTGGTCCCGTTGATGTCCACGGTGATGACAAGGGTATCGCGGTGTGGTGTTGGGCCGTCCGGGAGGTCTTCATCAGAGAAGGTGATGACGTCCCTCCGGCCTTTCTTGATGGGGGGTCTATGCTGCACTGCGCCTACATATAATTGTCTAGCCCAACGTTTCCTCTCGCGAGAGCTGTCTCCAACCGCAGGCCCGCCACAAATCATGTGGATCACACGCTTGTGTTTCCAGTTTCGATCGTCTTGCTCTTCTGGATTCCCCTTTTGTTGGTTGGGTGCTTTCTGTTGGGGCCTATCCCTAAGTTCGTCGGGCTATCCCTAAGTTCGCCGGGAGGGTTCCGAGCTGGTGCCCATGGAAGTTTTCGCCATTGGTTGGGGCAAGTAGTCGATTGTCTTTTTTGGATAAGCTCCTCGATTTCTTTTTGTAGGGTAGTACATTCTTCGGTAGAATGTCCTGTGGACCTGTGATATCGGCAGTATCTGGCTCTTCCCGCGGCCGGCCGTTCCTCCGCCTTTGTGGGTGGTGGCGGTAGGTTCTCTGTAGGTCGGGGTGGTTGGACCTCGTGCACGTGCCTTGCCCCGAGGGTGGGGACTGCTCTGTGTCGAGGGGGAGGTGGCCCCCGGATGACGTTAGATCTTTCTTCCCGTTTAGACAGTCGGTCCGACAGACGCGTTCTCGTCTCGTCACGGGGTCGTTTCGCTTCTCGCCTTATTTTTTGTTGCAAAGCTTCTTCTGTTTCCGCGTATTTGTTGGCCCTCTGAACGGCCTGTGCATACGTGTCGGGGGTCTCCCTTCGTAGACTAGTGAACAGATCCCCTGACCGGAGGGCTTCCATGAATAAAGTGAGGGCCGTTCGGTCGTCCAGGTCTTCTACAGCCTGTACTTCCTTCTGCCATCTTTTTAGGAACTCTTTTAGTGTCTCAGTTTCTCCTTGTTGTATGGCAGTCAGGGTCATGAAGTGTTTCTTTGTTTTCATGCTTCCTGCGAAGTAGGTTAGGAATTGCTCGGCCAGGGTTTCGAAGCGATCGATGGACCCTGGTGTTAGGGATAGGAACCAACGCTGCGCTGCCCCGCCCAGGGTTGAGAAAAAGGCACGATAGTACATGGGGTCCTCCGCCCCTATTACCATCATCTTTGCCTGGAAACCGACTAAGTGATCGCTGGGGTCCCCCGTTCCATCGTAAGTAGGCATTGTCGGACACTTGAAGTCTCTTGGCGCACGATATTCTTGGATTTTCATAGAGAATGGACTGGCAGACAATAGAGATCGAGCGGTTGGTCGATCTCCCCTACCCTCGACCTTCCTTTGAAGGTCTCTCACCTCCCTGGCAAGTTCTGCCATCTCTCGATCTCGGTTCCCTTGACCAAGTTCTGGAGTCTCTCCGCTACCCTCCATCATGTCTTGCAGAATTCTTCTTCGATCGGGATCCCCTTCCCTCGCCCCTCCCGTGTGAGAACCGGTTGCCTGGGTGACCTCCACCCGTCGCTGGGGATTGAGCCTGACTCTTTGTTGCGGGCTTTCTACCGGGGGGTTTTCGAGTTCAGGCTGTGGAGCGGTTTCCCGTTGGTTCAGGGGCCCTAAGCGATCTAGGACGGAGATTGCACGACGGGGTCCCTGGGGTGGAGCCGATCTCTGTGTTCTTTCAGGGGGCAAGTTCGTGTTGGGCAGACGGTCGCCGGCGATCTGGGTGGTATTGTTTATCCGGGAGGGTTCTGGGGATCCTGCCCTTGCAGCCTGGCCATGATGTAGGGACGCTAAGTAGCGTGCAGCGGCCTCTACTATCTCGGGGGTGAGTTCCACTAGCTGGGTCCGTGGGACACCAACGGTCGGTGGGCGTGCGTTCGAACGAACCTCTTCCTCTTCTTGGTGACCTCCCCGGTCGGCCTCCCTCTCCAGGGAAATATGCTGATCGTTCGGTACCTGCGAGGGGGGGGGGGTGAGGGTTTCTCTCAAATCTCTGACTGGTCTAGTGACTGCCTGGTTAGTTCGAGTATTTCGTCGTGTAGTTACCATGCTTTCAGGGTTTTGAGGAATGAACGATAACTTTTCGTATCGATCCCCACGAACGGCGCCAATGTTGGTTTTATGACTTTTTGGGCAGTCAACGGCAGGCCAACACTACCGTTAGAATAACGAGAATATAGGAAAAATATAGGAGAAATATATGGAGAGAATGTAGGAACTTTGTATTGATGAGTATTGCTCTGTCAATCTTGAAAGTTGTCCCTTCTCATCTATGTGAGAGGTCTATTTATACATATTTGGGCCTAGATCCCTACAAGGAATAAGAATTCTAAACTGCCTCATATTGGGAGTCTTAGTTACATAATAAGATCTAGTTCTATTATACTAGAAATAATGAGTCCAATTCTGATTATATTGGGAATAATAGGCTCAATCCTTGACAAACTCTTCGGTTGCTCTGTGTCTTGTATCTTTATTGGGCTTCCTTAATCCAGTTGCTTTCCTTGGGCCGGTCGACAGGGCCCAGACCTAGTACGCTATCCATCAAATAGTAACACTGAATTTACAAAATTAAACGTTATTATCTTACATACAACATCTCCAATAGGGAGATTTTCATTGATTTTTGCGGAGCTAATGCTTGTGTGGAGGAGAGAGGGAGGGGAGAAAGAAGAAAACGGGTTGCTACAGGAGATCCTTGATTTTTACAGAAAATGTGAGACCCACCAAAAAAGCAAAGAAGCTCCCTGGAGCGCGTGCGCGCCCGTTAATATATATATGCTTTTCTGATATTTTGTTTTTTTAATTTCCTTTTTTTTTTATTCCCTTCCCTAGTTCCTTTTATATTCTCTTTCTTTATTATACCAAAAAAAATTCATCAAAATCTATAATGAGTTAATACCCAAAATCGTCCTCGACTATAGTGGTTTTTCTCAATTTCGTCCTAAACGACTTTGGTGACCTAATATCGTCCCAGACTTTTGTGTTTCGCTCAATTTAGTCCTCCATTTGTTATTCCGTCAAATTGGTGTTAAATAAAGGGACAATTCAGTAATGTCAATATTGATCTCTCTTTACTTTCAACTTGTGAAGTGTGAAATTCCTCTTTCTTGTACGAATTATACCCAGAATTACTCCCGGACCTGCGAATCAAATTTTATATTCGCAGTTTTAGGAGTAATTCTGGGAGTAATTCGTAAAAAAAAAAGGGGATTTCGCAGTTCACATGTCTATGAGTAAAGAGATGCCAATATTAAAATTACTGAATTGTCTATTTATTTAACACCAAATGGACAGAATAACAAATGAGGGACTAAATTGAGCAAAAATACA